AAAGAACTGGAAAAAAGGTGGATAATGATATTTCACCAAATAAGAATATCAATAACAATACAAAAATTGCTTTGTTTTTTAAAAAAATTATTTATGCATACAGACTGGGGTACAAGCCAGAGATGCAGGGGCAGTGACAGGATTCACCAGACAGAGTGGGGAGCAGAACAGGCAGATTGATGAAATACACTGCTGAGGGGAACAGCAGGCGGGTCAAGAGAGATCTGCCGTGCCATATAGGTCACCTCCAAGGCAGGGACTGAACTCATGCTGAAGTGGCTTTAGCTTCTTAGTGCTGTACTTTAACCCACTGTGCTTTAACCCACTGCACCACCACGGAGGACCCCAGAAATTGTTTTTTTTTTTAAAGAGCCAAGTAAAAATTCTTGAAGTGATAATTAAAGTATTAGAAATAAAACTTAATTATAGAGATTCAATAGCAGATCTCAGCAAGAAAAAGAAAGACTCATCAAAACTGAAGATAGTCAATTGAGATTTTTTTTCTCCCATCAAAGGAACAGAGAGAAAAAAAAATGGAAATAAAATGAACACAATCGCAGAATCCTGTGGGTCACACAAACTGTACTAATGTACATATTAAAATCTGAGAAAGAGACAAAAGGGGAAGAGAGAATAGTTGAAGAAATAATGTCTGAAATTTAATAACAAACAAATCCACTCATTGAAAAAGCTCTAAAATTTTGAAGTTAAATATACTGAGAGACATCTATCTCTACAAACATTGTACTCCAGCTCTCAAAAGACAAAGACAAAGGAAAATCTTGAAAGCAGCAAGAAGAGACTCATGTTTAAGTCATATTTGAGATTAACAGTTGATCTCACATTAGACAGCAGAAAGCAATAAGATGGCATACTCAAGATGTGGGGGGAAAAAAGGCTGTCCACTAAGAATTTCGTTTCAAAAACTAAAAACGAATTCACACATTCCCAGATTAATAAAACCAAACAGAATTCCTTTCTAGCAATCCTACCCTACAAGAAGTGTTAATTGGACTCTCTCAGCTTCAAATGAAAGCACACTAGATGGTATTTCAAATCCAAACAAAGAAATAAATAACACTAGTAAAGGTATCTACAAAGGGAAATATAAAATAAAATATAAATGTATTTTTATTTTAACCCCTTTTTTTTCCTATCTGATTTAAAAGACAATTGCATAAAGCATTTGTCTATATTGATAGGCCTATAATGTATAAAGCTGTAATTTGTATTATAATAATAGCATAAGGGAAGGGCAGGAATAAAAATATATAAAAATATATACTGCTGAAATTAAGTTGATCAATTGATCTGCACTATATTATTATAAATTAAGATGCTAAATGTAATCCATAGCAACCACTAAGAAAATAACTTTAAAAATACCAAAATAAATGGTGTAGGAATTAAAGTGGTACAATAAAAGACACATTTTTAACAACACAAAATGAAGCAGTAATGAAGAAACAGAAAAAACAATAAGACATAATAGTCATAAACAGTAAGACATAATACAGAAGAAAAATAAAAATTATGAAAATCATACAAAAATAGGATATACAAAATTGAGATAGCAAAGGCCTATCTTTGACAAAGCACAGCTGGAATGATCCACAAGAAATGAGGCTCAGTTCGGAGTAAGTTACTGAAAATAAACATAGCAATTTCTAAATTGCAACTAATAAAAATAAGTTTATAAAATAAACCAGGTCTATCATAATATTAAAAAAAAATGTCATATAACTTTCTGGATACAGACTTATACATATCTTCTCAGGTCTATGACTAAAAGTTAATGCCAGGTTTCATTTCTGCTGTAACAACACCCTGCAAATAGTGGCAGTAAGACTACAAAGATCATTTCCTTTCTAGCAAACTGATGATTCTCTCCAACATTGATCTCTACCACCTAATGATCTGGCATGGCATAAAAGTTACTATTTAGTGTGATCAATAAATCTTCTTTTGAGAAGCCTGAGACATGAAATACAGTTACTGTCACTTAATATCTACTACTTACACAAAAGGAGTAAAAGAGAGAATGAATATGTTAAATCATTTCCAAATATTAACTGTGGGTACTTTATACGGTGTATTAGTTAATAATCTTTTTTTAACTTACACCGTGTATCAAATTCAGAGCTTATACAAATAAAAGATTCCCCACTGACTTTTCTTCTACTATATTTGAAACCCTGAAAACATCAGAGACGCCACTGTAGCCATATTGCCATTTATGAGTCTATTTGAGACAAGAAGCAACTCCAAAGTCACAACCTGGGAGATGTAACTTCCTCTCCCCAATGAAGCCTTATTTGTTGTAAGTGTGGAGTTCAGCTGTGTTCACTAGAATTCAATTGTCAATTGTCTTCCTTGTCCCAACTGGACAAAAATGGTTTAGCCTCCTGTGGAACATGAGCACTGCAGAGACCTGGATGTTTCAACATCCTTATAACTGGATTCCAGCCCCAAAGCACATGTCAGCTATTCCAAGTCACTGATACTGGAGAGGGAATCTGGTGATGGCCTCTGTCTAGCTAGCTGCCTTGCAACATGTCCCAATCTCAGGAAGTTGGGATAAATCAGTAAGTAAAATGTTCACTAATGCAAAGCTATAGGAAGGCTCAAGAACTGGAGGCACCAAATCCTGGGCATCTGAGAAACTGAAAATAGAACTGCTAAAGATTTATATAGGCTGACGTTAGATCTCTAGATCTTTCACCCATCTTATATAAACATACAGTTATTCCCCCCTCAATCTCAACAGACTACTGAAGATCTATTTTCAGAGAATGATAAACTATAGGATTTTTGACACAAAATTGTCAAGAACACTGTTATGAACAAAGAGAGATTAATTCAAAGTCTACATACTAAGTAGTGAGAACCACTTATACTAGGCCAGCTCAAGAAAAATTACCCACAGAATGTAATACTGAAGAAGCCTCCTAACAAAATGACCAGATCCCAGCCCAGTCACACTGTGGTAAAACCCATTAGTCTATGACTTCCATTTACACACATACAGATTTTCCATTAGCTCTGTAGTGCTTCACTCTAATATCTGACTGAATAATATAAGAGCACCAAACATTTTCAAATGTCAAAGGCCACTGACATAAAAGACAATGACCAATACAAACAGCCAGGAAAAAAAAGACTCAGAAACACCATAAGTGACCAAAGGAAAAGCTCAAAAAGCTTTCATTAGAATCTTTAGGAAATATATTGTATTTGAGAAACCAAGAGCTTTGGAAGCTACTTTTAGAAAGAAAAATAACATTCACAAAATAAGAAAAAATATTGTTCAACATTTTTAAATGATTATCAGAAATGAAAAATTAACTAGAGGATCTAAAAGATAAAGCTGAATACATCTTACACATAGTAAAACAAACAGAAAAAGAAATATATGACATAAAGGGAAACTGTTTAAAAAAGAGAACTAGTAATGTAAGAATTCTAACAGGCTAGTAACAATAATTCCAGATAAAGAAATGGGGCAACTATCAAAATTAGATATTAGTCAAATGCATTACCAAGAAAGGATAAGTCTTAGAATTGGAGAACATGTATTTTTATCTTGAAAGGTCATATCCCTTACTGATTTTTCATAATTACTTTAAATAGAAATACACAAATTGTCTGTCATGGGGTCCCAGGCGATAAATTGTTTTTATTCAACTCAGAGAAAGAAAAAGTCAAAACATCAGTATAAATCAGGGCTTTTCTTTATACTATGAGATGCCAATAACATATAAACACCTGCTTTTACAATATGTGCTTATCACAAATAATTATAAATTAGAATTGTTGACTGATGCACAACACAAGTTTGAACAACTGTATAGGTTCACTTGTAGCAGACAAGTGGGCTGAAGTCAAAGATTCAACCTACTGCAGATTTCAGAGGCTGGTTCATTTAATCTATGGACACAAAACCTACCTGTAAGGAAAGTTTGCTATGTTATAAAAGGATTTTCAACTGCTCAGGAATGGGCATTCCTTAATCCCTAAATGTCTAAGGGTCAACTGTAAATCTTTATATACATTAAAGAGCTTATTTTAAAGAAAAAAATGAACTAAAGACAAAGTGTTCTTGTTGGGAATATATTCAAGTAGCTCTTATAATAAGTAAAGGCATTTCTTGAATTTAGCTGTACTAGAAATTTAATATATTGTCTTTTTTCCTTCACTGTCTTTTAATTTTTAGATACAGTTGACATAAAACATTGTCAATTAAGGAGTAAAATGTGTTTATTTGATAGATTTACATACTGCAGTATGATTCTAACTACAGTATTAGCTGATAACCTTTATCATGTCATGTACTTTAATTTTTGCATGTCGAGAAAGTTAATATGTGTTTTTTTTAAAGATTTATTTATTTATGTGTACAGAACTGGGGTACAGACCAGTGGTGTAGTGGGAGAGAGGATTCACCAAAGACAGAATGGGGAGCAGAACAGGCAGACTGACAAAGTACACTGCTGAGGGTAGCAGCAGACAGGTCAGAAGAGGTCTGCCATGCCATGTGGGTCAGCTCCATGGTGGGGGATTGAACTCGTGCTACAGTGGCTTAGGAGAGCTTCACAGCGTGGTGCTTTAACCCTTTGTGGCACCAGTGAGAGCTCAATATGTACTTCCTAATAATACTGAAGTTCATAGTACTTAATGTTTATATTGATTATAATCTTTATGTTGTATATTAGATCTCTAGAACTTATTTATTTTTTGTTATAAGTTTGTATATTATTGACTTTTTAAAATAAGTAGGCTATTTTCTTAGATTTCAGTTAATCTTGCATTAATTTAGATTGGTTTAGATGATAGTCCCCAGTTGTATTTTAGTATCTTAAATACAAAGGATTTTACAATATTAATAATGGCTCATTTTATAGACAATGAAATCAAGTCATAAGAATTGGTTTTTCCTTCAACTATACCCAAACTTGACATTTTTAATTAATTCCTTCTCAATTTAAGGATCACACACTCACCTTGAGGATCAACTTCTTTAGCTAGCTTCAATGCATCCGAGTTCGCAAGATCAGTGTTGGCTGGGGTAACAGCCAAAATCAGGCAGTTCTCCCTGGTGATGAACTGCATAATCATTTCTCTGATTTGATACTCAATATCTGGTGGTTGATCTCCCACAGGCACTTTAGTAATTCCAGGTAGGTCAATAAGGGTTAGATTTAACACTGTGGGAAAGGAAAAATAGAGTCTAAATACATCCCCAATGCTACAAGATAATCAACGAGGTAGAATCATCTGTCACTTTAAGGGAATAAAACAAGATAGCTTTATATATTTTATATCTGAATAACTCCAACTCAAGTGTGTAGAATATAAAACAGAATGCCAAAGGGCTTTCTCTATTTTTGTGACATAAGTGTGCTGTGCCAAATGATCATGTTAACATAATTTGAAAGGCAATGATTTGCATGCCTAACAGTTTTCTCAGAGAGCAGTTATATCCGTAACTAGGGGTTATAATTAAAACACTGAACAAGAAGTGCATATACTGTCAGCCTTGTACAGTGCCTTCAAATAAAAATTTTCAGAGAAAGATATGTCCTTCCCTTCAAAAGCATCATGCATTAAGATTCTCCAGCTTAGACTGTGGAAGAGCTGGTCTCCATCTGTAGTGCCATGAGGTCACTGTGTATGCCTTTAGTCGATGGATTCCATTCCATTCTGTAGCCAGATTCATGCGGAAGAATAAGGAAGAGCAGGAAACCACTCCAGTGCCAGTGACAACATGATCTAGCCCCCAACTGGCTGCTGTATACTTTCTATATACAAGTGTTGGTACCAAGTCCTCTTGGGAAGACCTCAAGGAAGTGCCCATGATCATTCATGTTCCATTTCCAAAACAGCAGAGCCAGAAAAGGAGTTATCAATGAGAATCTTTTAAGTGGCTTGCTCAATTCTATTTTTTTTTTTTAAGTCATCTCCTGCCTCCTCATCCATAAATCTGTGAGTTCTCGGGCTATCGTGTTAATGGCACTACCCAAACACTGTACTAGAAACCTGGTCATTTTTGAGAAAACAAACTACCTTTGATACAAATAATGCATGTTAATTAATAAATAAAAAAAAAGTTCAAGGATGAGAATTTGAAATTCTATTATTTGACTCACCATGTGGAGAACAGACTCGTAAATTAATGGGTATGGATGAAATGCCTTTATTCATTCCAGTCACTCGATCTGTTTCTGCTTCAATCTCATGGCGAACTTCATCAAAATCTGTAAATTTTTTCCCTTTGCAATGTAGAAATTCAGCATATTCTACAAAAAAAGGAAATGAGTTAATGCAAACTAAAATTCATGTATTCTTACAATAATTACAAGGTAACAATTTTTTAAATTGCAAGTCAAAGTATCCAAAATTGTCATTAAAATTACCAAGAAGCTCAGTTAATAATAAAGTGTTAACATAAAAGTTAAGAAGGCTAAATTTGCTGCTGTTTAGGAAAATACACACTGTTGAGAAGTGCTTGATTCATCTAATCTATTAAATAATTTAAAGAGAATTCTGACCCTCCCTGGGATAAATATCAGCATCTGACTATAAAAAAATACATTAGATAATGATATGCACAAAGCCTTTCTTCTAATCCTATTGAGGATTATAATGAAACACTGAGTTATATGAATATAGCTTCAGAATGAAGGAAGATTTAGAAACACAATTTGATTAATTATTTAAAAAGAAATAACAGAATATTTTAGATTGCAAATGGACTATCTGAAATAGTGTTAAAAATAGTTCATTAAATTATACTATTTAAAAGCTAACATTATTTGAAGTATACCATTTAAATTTAATTTTATAATTAAAGATCTTTCATTTTCTCAAGAAAAATATAATAAAGCATTACATCAAAAAAGATCTTTCTTTAAAAAAAAGAAATCAGTATGTATAGGCAGAAGGAAAAACTCCGACTCAGGATAAGCATTTAACCATCATCCACTATGGCAAGATCATTAGGAAGAAAATTATAAGATGTGACTCTGGTCTTCAAGTAGGTTAGTTTCATTGTGGTACTTCCACTCTCCTGCTAGTTTGGCCATTGCTCAGACCACTGGTGATAGACTGCCTAGCCCCACACAGCTACTCAGAACTGCAAAGTCATAGGGTTCTGAAGAGCTCCAAGTTTCTGCTTCAATTTAATAGCAAAGAACTTCAATGGCCTAAAGTTTCAAATTTAGAATGACAAGGAGTTTACTTAATTTCTGTCTTTCCTGTCATTGAAGGTGGATGTGAGTATTTCTCTCGTTTTCATGTAGTAATACATTCTGGAAAGTATATTATTTTCTGGAATATAGCAAGCTAAGACACCCAGAAGGTCATCTTCAATGGTGGAAGTCTACCCATCAAAGAAACTTCAGTGAGTGGGCTTCAGATGTCTAAACTAAAGAAAATAGCAACATTTGCATGTTCTTTCACAGGCTTCTCCTCATAGGTGCTGCTTTTATTAGACTAACCCCTCAGAATATAGACTATTTCCTACTCAGTGGCTAAGCCAGTGCCATCGAAATGTAAGGGCTTAAAGGTAAGTAGAGCATAAATCAATGAGAAAAATAAAGCAGAACAAAAAATGTCACCACCCAGAAAACAAATGAATAAGTAAAAACAAGTCGTACATAATTTAGAAGAAATAAAACAATACCTTTTAAATTCAGTATATTCTATGGGTAATGCATGCTTGAAGACTTCCCACTAACATCGTTATTACTTTTACAGAATGAATAAGCTTCTGGATCAAGCACTATGGTTTCAATTACGTTTCTAATCAGTAATTCAAGTAATATGTGTGGACTACTTTTGCTGCCACTAGATGGCGCCTACTTGCTTATTCTGTAGAAAACCAATGCCCTTTGAGAAGGCTGTAGAATCGATGCCATTTTCAAATTAGATTTAAAATTCATTCCTGGATGCCCGAAATGCTTTTATCTTAGAAATGAGAGATACATGGTGGAAGATCAATCCAACCTTTGTATCTTTTTAAGGAGAGGTTCCCACAAAGAGATTTCTGGATGCCTGCATTCATTCACTTATTCATCTCATAATTATTGAGTTCCTACTACTTGCCAGACATTGTTTCAAAACTTTGAAATGTAAGAGGGAGCAATAAGCCTCTAGCTTCATGAAGTTTAGATTCCAGTAAGATGAAACAGTAAATAATGTGTGTGTGTGCCAGATGATAAGTATTAACAGAAAATTAAACCACAGGGAGCTATTAAATACTGGAGAGGGACTGCTTTGTCATAGGCTTTGGTTGAGAAAGGCTCCTCTAATGTGATTAAAATGATGTTTAAGCAGACTCAAGAAAGGGCAGGAGCAAGCCATGCTTTAACAAAAGTATTCCCGCAGACCTGTGCTTGGCACAATGAAGAAAAGGGAAGGAGGCCCATGTGCCTACAGCACAGAACACACGGGGAAAGAGACAGATGGGTCAGAGCTATGATACAAACCTGGATTACACAGCGCCTTGGGCCACTTAACGGTCTCTCACTTTTACTGAGTGGATGGTAAACCAGCTGAAGAGTATTGAGTTAGAGAAAGATCAAATTCTAAATAAATAAATGTGGCTGCTGTGTTGCTAAGAGACGATGAGGAGCAAGAGAGAGAGTAAGCTACTAAAATAACTGAGGTAAAAAAAAAAAAAATAGTCCCTCCCTGGTGACGCAGCAGGTTAAAGCACAGCACTAAGAAGCTAAAGCCACTTCAGCATGGGTTCCATCCCCGGCCCTGGAGGTGATCCACATGGTACCATAGACTTATCCTGACCCGCCAGATGCTCCCCTCAGCAGTATACTTAGTTGATCTGCCTGTTCTGCTCCCCACTCTTGTCTCTGGTGAATCGTCTCACTGCCCCTGCACCTCTGCCCTGTACCTCAGTTCTGTATGCACAAATAAATAAATCTTTAAAAATAAATAAACAAACTAAAATGATGAAGATGAGAGATGATGGGGCTTAGACCTGGGTGGCACAATGGAGGAGGGGTGAGAAGAGGTTAAGTCTTATTGTATTTTGAAGGAAAACTCAACAGGATTTGCTAGTAGATTAAAGGTGGAGTATAAGAGAAAAAGAGAAGTCATGAGTGACTTCAGTGATTTTGACCTCACAACAGGAAGAACTTTGAAATGGAAAAAAAATAATAATAAAAGTAAAACAAAGAGGTTGTAAGTGTGTGGGGGCAGGGAACCAGGTTGCAATGTCTGCTCCATACTGCACACCACATGGAGAAACAGAGCTTCTACTAATATGAGGATCTCACAGCTGTAATACACCATTCACATTCACAGTCATCTGATGAATATCTGTTTATTCTGAAATCATTCCAGAAGATGGCAGCCAAGTGCTTGAGGAAAAGGACAGGGGTGTTTTGTTATTTTTTTTTTCTAATTAGCACAAAAATGCCTTTGGGGCTGAATACTGTCACCTGAGGAGAAGGCTAAACTAGAAATATATATTTAGAATCCATTAAAGTCAGACAAGAGGATGAGATCATCAAAATAAGACAGATAGTGAAGAGGTGAGAACACTGGGCATTGGGTTTTCTAATATTAAAGGTCAGGAAGGGCCCTCCTTGGTGGTGCAATTGGTTAGGAAGCAGCACTGCAAGCTAGCCAGCCGATTCAGTGTATGTTCAATCCCAGGTCCCAGAGATGACCCACATGGCGCAGCAGACCTCTCCTGACCTGCCCACTGCTCCCCTCAGCAGTATACTTTGTCAATCTTCCTGTCCTGCTCCCCACTCTGTCTCTGGTAAAGTCTCTCACTGCCCCTGCACCTTTGACTTGTACCCCAGTTCTGTATGAATAAATAAATAAAATTTTAAAAAATATTAAGAGGAAATAAATTTTTTAAAAAGTCAGGAGATGGAGAGAACAGGAGGGGAGAACAAAAGGAGAAAAACTGAGAAAACTGACCTAAGATCAAGAAAACTGGAATTTCACAAAAGAAAATTTTCCATTCCACCACATGATGACATGTCAGGTAAGGTGAGAACTAAGACTGGTGAGTAGAATGGGGCAAAATGAACACCCTTCAGAAGGTCTAGGAGTTGTTACAATTGAGTGGGGTGGATGATGATCTATCAGGAATGGAGTTCCAAGAAAATGGAAGGAGCGGAAGTAGAGTCTGATTGTCAACAATTCTTCTAAGGAGTTTTGTTATGAGGAGAGATAGAAGAGGGGTGTGAAATCAAGGGAGGTTTTGTAAAGATGGGCAAACTAATAGAACTGATGGTGGTGAGATCATTTGAGATTCATCAGACCAGAGTCAAGATTTAATACATTTGGATAAAGGTATTTTACATACTTAAAAAGCTTATGTATTTATGTATGTATTCTTACTGGTTAAGTCTACAATCACTGTCATCTTCACCACAGAATACATCACACCGACACTCACACACACACAAACCCACAAAGTGATCTGAAATGAATAAACTAAGAGTAATCATAGCAGGGATATCAACTTGTCTAATTACAACTGCCAAGTGTATCAGAACTAACGGGTCAGGAACCACAAAATTATTTTTCCATAGGCCCCAAAGAGCCACCCTGCAAATGATTCCAAAGGATGGAAAATTCAGGCAACACCTAACTGAATTTCCAAAAATGGTTATCTGGAATCCATCCTCTACCTATTTCCAAGGACATGTAGGTCACCTTGCCTCTGACAGAACAGTGATTAATTTTCAGACCATGAGCTACACTTTTTCCCCTGAAAAACACATCACAACCACAATTTATTGCTAAATAACTACACATCCAATAAGTTGAGTCTCACTCGTAACAAGGTTAGTCAGTCCTGCTATGAGATTCCCTAGCCCTGGTAAGCAGATCATAAGTAACAAAGGTGGGAAGTTCCTTTTCGAACAATTAACTACAGTTGCTTACTAAGGAGGGCCATCAACACTTACTTACATCATGAGGCAATTCCTAAATAAATCGTTATTAGCAATGTAGTTTAAAAGGATACAGTTTAATCTCCCTGTTGTCTGAAAATACAATTACGAATGAAAATCTTGGAAAGGATTATCACAAAGTAGTGTATCACTTAATTCACATCTGAAAAGGAATGCTCACATGATTGGGGTGGAGGAGGTGAAGGAAATTTTCACATCTAAGTCAAAAGCTACAGAATAGGCTGTTCTACTGGTGAACGGTCCAAATGCTAGACTTTTTTTTTTGTTGTTGTTAACATTTTAAAGGACAGGTTTACTGGGAAAAGGAAAAAGAAAAAGAAGCACTTGCATAATTGGACACATGA